TTATTTATTTATTTTTAATAATTAGATATACAACATGTAAAAATGTCAATTGAACAAATTTAGCTGGTAGGTGGGCCTATTTGACACTTAATTTAGTTCGTGGTGGGAATTGAGCACTTCGCAGTAGTGGATGGATCTATTTGACACTTATGCCTAATAATAATAAACCAACCAAGCACTATGATATAATTTTTGAAATCTATTTTTTGATGATGAATAAAACAATGGATAGAAATTCATATTCATTACATATTCTATTCCGGAATATAATTTCTATTTTCTAATAATTCATTTTGTGTAAACCAAATGATGCTATAAGCAATTTTGCCATATTCCTACTGTTTACTATGCTAATAAGATATGATATTTATGCATAACCTTTCATGACCACATGTTGCATAAGTGCATAAAGCAACTTACAATTGTTCATTTTTAGAATGTTTTATTTATTTCTTTGTTTATTTACCTCTGGATTAATCTTTACATAGAGAATTGGTACAAAATTTAATTTCATAATTTATAATTAATAATAACATTTAAATATTAGGTATGAAATTTCGTAAATTATGCATGCCCAATACAATTATAAGAAGTTAAAATAGGATTTATAGTACAATCGCTACAAAAGCAAACCTAATCATCACTCTTGAATATTCAGTTCAACCTCGCCAAGTTAGGAGAATATAAATATATTTGCTTCTTCTTCCAATGAAAGTTATCAATTTTTCAATGAGTGTGGAGATGCAATAATGACTCCCACGAAGCGGAATGGGTGGGCATTGTTTGGACGGTAGAGATTGATTACACAGAGTTTCAGTAAATGTCTTTAAGATATAATGAAGCTAAGTTTATATTTGCGGGGATAGCTCAGTTGGGAGAGCGTCAGACTGAAGATCTGAAGGTCTCGTGTTCGATCCACGATCACCGCATGATTTTTAAGTCACCCAGCGGCTATAAATAATGAGAATGATTTTATATTCACTTATCACAACCCTCCGTTGTCGTCCAGCGGTTAGGATATCTGGCTTTCACCCAGGAGACCCGGGTTCGATTCCCGGCAACGGAATTTCTTTTTCTTTGTATTGAAGAGGAAAGAGTGATACTTTGATAGTGACCTCATAATTAAAATTCAAGCGGACTTACGAAAGGGTCAAAATGACCTCATAATTAATGTTAATATTTTGTTTAAAATAAGATTTGAATCATTAATCTAAAAATTAATAATTAATAATATTTTTTACTAAATTAAAAATTTATAACTACTTGTAATGTTATAATATTATTTTATCATTACTAAACTTTCAAATTTGTAAAAATTATAAAATGAATCTCGATTTTAAAATAATAAAGTTGATCTATTTTTTTTTTTAATTAAAACCCTCAACTATGATGAACTTGGGCTAAGATTAGTCCTCTTTTTTTTTATAGGAGGACTTGGTTCTTATTTGATCATGCCTACACACACATATGATTTAACATTTATAGATATTTAGTTAATAGACAATATGCAATTAAATTAATTGTTATATGGTGATTTTAATAAAATGATAATTAAAGAATAAGAAAAAGAATTGGGTAGATGTAGGTATATAGTAATAGTGATGGGTGGCATAAAGGGAGCTACAATAATGACAATATTACTTCTTTCTAAAATGAATTATAGTATAACTATTATAACACATTGTAGTATATAATATTGCATTGCTATACATTAAAGTACTTGTTTAAAAATAATTATTCGATTACCTCATTCGCGCAATACGCGTGAAAAGCTAATAAGAATATAAATGTATACTTTTCTTTTTGTGTGTGATCGTATTCTATTTGTATTCTATATTTTGATTAATAAGATTTGATAAAAAAAAAAAAAGGTGCATCTATTTTTTTTTTATTTTTTATTGCAAACACATCTATTTTTGTTTAGAAATTAATAGGATATGTTATTTCAAAAGCTAGAAGTTGCATTTACTTTATGTAAACATGTATTCTGTGTTTTTTTTTTTTTAATTTTTTAAAAAGTTAATTCTATTTTTGGTTTTAGATTTATTGGTGACGATTCACTTTTAGCAATGACAAATACTATATGTACTCATATTTTCTACTTTTAACTTTTATTCTCACACACAAAATCTTGATATAGACACTTATACTGGGATCCACGTGAAAAAAGTAGTCAATCAGTGCCCGCCACATCAGAGAGTAAAATTTACGGAGTATGATTTCGGAGTCTTTTTTTTTTTCTTTTTTAAAAAAATGATTTGGGAGTCTATGTAGTAGAACTCTTTAGCAATAGTTATTGTGTGGACCACAATCCAAAAACGACATCGTTTTGCGTAATTTTTTTATTTGTCATGTGACCCGCTGCAATATACATTTTTATAACTAATAATGTACATTATTCTAAAGCATACTGTACATTATTCTAAAACATAATATATATTATATTACTCAGACGTTTCATTATTCTAACACGTAATATACATTATTCTAACACATAATGTTGGAAAAATAGCAATAAATGGTATTTTAAGTGACTATTTTGTAGTACAATTATTAGTGTGGTCCACTTTCAATTTGAGTCGGGTCAAAGTGGATTCGGGTTCTTCGTAGTGAGATGAAGAGCTTGATATATTGTACGCTCAAAACGGATAATGGGTGAATGAGATATTGATTCTCAAAGTAGATCAATTTGAGTTGGAAAAATGAAGGGGAAAAGATGAGCTTTTGTCCCACATTGATTTGGGAAGTGGATTTGCATCACTATTTATACAAGAGTCTTTTATAAATTTATTGAATTGTATAGCATAAAGACTTGAACTTGTGTACACTTTTTCCAAAGGTGGATTCGGAAAATGGTTGGTCGGTTAAGTTATGCCAACTTTTGGTATCATTTTTTCCAACACAATAGTCACTTGGATTCGGCCAAGGCCGATTCCGAAATTGACTGGCCTTCTAGGCTAAGTTATGCCAACATTTGGTATCATTTTTCTAACACAATAGCCACTTGGATTCGGCCAAGGCCGAACTCAAGGTTTCGGCCCTTGGGAGGCCGAACTGAGCCAGTATGGGTTCAGCCTTAGGGCCAAACCATGTTTGTAGGCCAACAGACAGTGTGGGATTAAATTCATCAGTTACTGAATTAATTTTCAATTAATTCCAATTTTAATTTTGAATTTAAACCTCAAGTAATGGCTTGCTGTTTCAGGAGTTACAAAGGAGTTTTGAATGCCACCATTAAATGCTATTTATCTTCAAACCTCCTATATAAGAGTGTTGTAGGAGTAGAAGGTTTATAACGAACAAGAGACACAACAAATTTTCTTTTCTCCAAAAACTCTGCTCATACTCCGTTCTTGCCGATTGTGTTCTGCCCGTGCTCTAGTTCGCCGGATTCTTCGTTTGGGTGCTCAAACGATCAACCGTAGTACGTTTTATCCTGGGAAATCTAGACTACAATGCTCCTAGCACTTTTGTGAGGTAACAAATAAGGTTTTAAGGAAAGAGTGCTTCGCTCGACTCGTACTAACCACTCTTCTTCATCTTCGCTCTTCTCGATTTTTGAGATTATGCTCTAAGCATCGAATCCTTGTGCTATATATATTTGTATATATATAGTTGTTGGTTGGAATTATAATCTGGAGGATTATAAATTTCATTTTGGTTTATATATATATATATATATATATATATATATTTCGTGTGGGTACATATAAATATTATTTTGTGGTAAATCGATTTGGTTCATTATTTTCTACACCTAAAGTATATTATTTTAACACATAATGTACATTATTTTTACTCATAATATTCAACAACGTTGTTTTGGACGTAGAATAAGCCCACTTTTAGTCTATTTTATCAGAACATTCTCATTTGGTTCTAGTATTATTGTGGCACGATAATTTTTAGTTCTCTGTCAAGAAAATCGTTAAAATGTTGTTAAATGCAAAGGCATTTCGATTTTGTTTAAATATATATAGTAGGTTGACCCGCCATATATATATACTTTTTATGTTTATTTTTTTGAAAAAAATTCATAATTGAAGACCGAAATGTTATTGCATTTAACGATATTTAAATTCTTTTGTTGATTAAGGTCAAAAAATGGTCATGCCACAATAATATTAGAACTAAAAGTGAATGTAATTTTTTCTTATAAAAAGTGACTTAATTAAAGTGGATTGCCACATATAAATCTAGATTAGAAAAAAAAAAATTGAATTAACTCTTTTTAAAATGTTGAATTATACTACGTAATACTTAGGGCATCCACATTAGTGGATCCTGGTGAGGTTTTTGGGGTAGATCGAGTGGCTGATGTGGAAGAGAGAGAAGAAATAGAGTGCTTCCAGGAGAAGAGGTTTTTGGTCCGCAATGGTGAGCCCTACATGGAAATGAAAAGGCAAGTTGGTCGCAAGTGATCAGTGATGGCCAAATTGCATGCCCAGCGGGCGCGTAAATAGGCTGATTTTTTTTAATTTTTTTTGGTCAGATTTTTTTTTTTCCTCTTCTCCCTCCTAATCACACATGCAAGATGTTTTTATATTTGAGTTAATGAACGATTTGATCCCTCAATTATTAGCGAACTGTCAATGTAGTCCATCAATCGCTTATTCATTGATTTGGTCTCCAAAAATAATTATTTTTAGTCGATCTAGTCTCTCAGATCGTCTTCCATCGTCGACCGGAGGAACTAAATCGACTAAAAATAATTATTTTCGGGTTCGCTAATAATTGAGGGACCAAATCGTTGATTAACTCTTTTTATTATTATAATTTTGTTTTCCCCCTTCTCCCTCCTAATCACACCTGCAAAATGTTCTTAGAAACTACGTCTACCAAAGTTCAAGGCTCAAGGCTCAAGGCTCGAACCCACCACTTCTCGGAACAACTTGATACCATTGGACCACAAGGTCATTAGTAATATTTTCTTTTTATATTCTTTCGCTTCTGTTTTTAAATTTAAAAAGTTTTATATTTTTTTTAATGAAGGAAAAAGGCCACCCAAGTTTTACACTTCTGGGCTTATCCATTCTCGCCAGCAACGGCTACACAATTTCTTTTCATGAATTACCGAACTCTGAAGTTCTGAGTAGATGCCAATGGCGTTGGCTTTGACATTCACTCATTTTTCCCTTTCTGCTCCTTTCTCTCGCATAAGCTGCCAGGCTACCACCGCCGTCGCCTCTCCCTCCGCCGTGCACCTCCCTCCGCAACCACCGCCGGCGTCGCTTCTTCCACAACTGTCTCATGTCCAAAACCCTAATCCCGCCCCTCCACCATCCGTATCATGCGCTCTCCACTGCGCTCACTTCCAGATGTGAGCATTTGAGCTCGATTTCGAGATTCATTTTTCACTTTCAATTTTCAAATACTCCATAACATTTAGGAAACGAATAATGTATTATTTTACAGGTGCTCGGGTTGTTCTCATGAGTACAATCTCCACCATCCAGTAATGGTTGATGAAGCGATGAACTTCTTCAAGAAGCTTGGCGTGACAGATTTCACCTTTCATAGTTGTAGATTGGTACTAAACCCGTTTCGTTTGTCATTTCTTTAGTGCTTTAGGATTTGGGGTGAAAATTTGAATTGCGTTGCACTTGCAGTGGGGATGGAGGTGCCGTGCAAAGCTTGCAGTTCGCGGCACATCAACAAAGCCTCTAATTGGGCTATATCAGGAGGGAACTCACAACGTTGTTGATATCCCTGATTGTAGAGGCATGTTGAATGAATTCATATATGATATATGTATACAAGCATGCAAATACATATTCGCACTGGAAAATAGCTACTCCCTACTTCCTTGATCTTAATTGATCCTGTTTTTGCAGCTCACCATCCCAACATTAATGCTGCTGTGCAACTCCTGAAACGAGGCTTGTTCTTTGATGTCTTAATTTTGCTCCGTCTTTAATGAGAACACAAGATTTCTGCTTGCTCTCTCATTCTTTGTTAATATATATTTTTCCCCTTCTCCAGGGATAACTGAATTGAATGTTGAACCATATGATGAAGATGCAGGAACAGGGGAATTGAGATATGTTCAGGTTAGTTACATACTAACATAACTGAATACAAATAAAGATACTTATGGGGATGATTCTTTGTAGATGGCTGTGACGACACATGACACTTCTCGTCCAATCTCTGAAAGATATAAGAACGGTTAGAAACTGAACTTGTACTCTTCTTCATGTGAGGTTAGCTCTTTGAGGTTGAATTGGAGTTTATTAGCCTCTTGCGACAATTTCAGGTAAAGTTCAGGTTTCTTTAGTTTGGAATTCGAGGAGTGAGACCTCACCTACTTCAGAAAAATTAAATGCTTTGGCCAATGTAAGTTCATTAGCGGTGAAACCACCAAGGCACTGATTTCCTTTGCATTTGTGCTTCTCTACATGAATTCTTAAATCTTTAACTGCAATTGTAGTTCTTGTGGAGAGCTGGTGGACCAAGGAGTGAACTCCATTTAATTCATTCTGTTTGGGCTAATTTTCAGACATCATCAAATAATGTGAGTGAAAATTGATCTCATGCTTTATACTCATCAGAAATAAGTTTCTTTGCCTCTCTCTCTCTATCTCTTTCTTCTGTTTTGCACTCTCTATTTAGATGAAATAAATTGAGATTGGACAGCTACCATACAGCTTTAGAATGTCAAATATTTTCCAGAACCAATTACGTGCAGCTGAAAGATGGTTGCAACTTTGTCATGTTTCTTGTTGGTTATGCAGATAATTTTCGGAAACAGATGGAGGTATCTATTAGGTGAAAGAGATTTCTGGGAACATGTTGGTGGAATTGATGTTTCCTTGGCTCCATCAAGTTTTGGGCAAGCAAATACACGGGTAGAATTTTTTTTTTTTTTTTGGACGTGTGTGAATAGGTGTATAACAATTCTCATGGATTTTAGTTAATGATTATTTATTCTTCCAGGCATTTGACTCTTTGCTACGCAAGTTACATAAATATGTCCCATATGGTGCATCAGTTGTTGATCTTTATGCAGGAGCTGGTGTAATTGGATTGTCTTTGGCATCAACAAGGAAATGCAGGTAAGAATCAACTCATCCTTATCACCTCTTATTTTAAGTCTTGTTCTCGTTAGCTGGTAGTGCTTATGCTTATTTCTCATGTACAGTTCAGTTAAATGTGTAGAGGTCAACAAAGAATCAAAGCATTCTTTTACAAAGACAGCTGAGCGCTTGCCAACCAATCTTGATAGCAGCATTAGCTGGCATCATGCAGACACTTCAATTGTCAGTTTCATCACTATTTATATGCATCATTAACATATATCTTGAGAATAAGTTTTCATATGGTGTCATAATATGGGTGTTTGTGTGTTTTGTTCAGTCTGGTATATACATATGCATATAAATGTGCTCATGCTATTGCATCTACATTGTTTAACTTTCTGTAGAGATTGACTTTCAAGATCTGCATTGTTTAAGATTCTACATCCTTTCGTATGAAGAGATTTATGGATGGAATTCATAATGTAGAGATTTATGGGAAAAATCCATATATAATTTCCCAAAGAAAAAATTTCTAGGTTTATCTGATTTATCATAATCTCTTATTATATATGCGTGGATAAACAATTAGTTGAAATGCAGATATAGTGCATGGATATTCCTAACTAACTATTTTTGCAATGGATCTTAGAACTATTTGTGATGCTTGGAGAAGCATTGTTACGGTGCAGATCCTAAATAGATTATACTCTACTTTGTCAGGAACCACTTTCTTGGCTTGTTGGATCTGATGTTGTTGTGGTTGACCCTCCGAGGAAGGGACTGGATCCATCTCTGATTAAGGCATTACAGACTGTGTCATACAAAAGCAAAAAATCTGAGAGGTTGAATTGAAGCAAAATCAAGGGATTAAATGAAATCAATAATTTTGTATGTATTTTGCAGTTCAGAGATTGGCATCTTTACAGTTTCTGTTTACTTTTTATATTTGATGCCAGTAATGAAAAGGCAAAAGATGAAAAAAGACCTTGGGTTCTACGTGCAAGAGAAGCTTCAGTTCTGATTAGAGAGAAAACTGAGTATGAGGAAAACCAATCTTTGCCTCAAACTCTCATCTATATAAGTTGTGGATGGGAAAGTTTTAAAGAGGTATGATTAAGTTGTGCTATGATTCCAAGTGATACCTCGGTTTTATCCTCTCTTCTTTCAACAATATTTTTCCTTAAGCTAATTTTCTTGCAGGATTGCATGTCACTTGTGTCTTCCAAGGCATGGCATTTATCAAAGGCCCATGGCTTTAATTTCTTCCCAGGAACACAAAGGTAGTGCTCCTTTTTCCATATCGGAATGCGATTTTTTTGTATTGCTCTTGTTAGGATCAAGTGCTTACCACTACGCAAAAGCTATAACTAGTAGCAAAGGCGCTATCGGCCTCCAGCAAGAGCTCTAACCCGTGACCTGGCTCTAATACCACTTGTTAGAATCAAACGCTTACCATTATGCCAAAAGTTATAGCTAGTAGGGAATGTGCAACTTTATTTCCTTATATCGCCGCACATTTTCGAGAGCCGGGATGTTGGACTTGGCCTTCGCCTAACAATCCCCTAGCCACATGGTGCTGGACTTGGCCCTTACCGGCTCCCGCCCAACAGCTCTTTTGCATGTGGCACATATTTGCATTGAACCATTGACTGCTTAATTCAGATTACACTTGTCATTATTTTTGGTTCATATTTTTAATCATGGATTAGTTATTGTCAGTCATTAGTTAATAATCTTGCTGGATGCAGTGTTGAGATTCTAGCCGTGTTTAAGAGAGGCTCAAGGGATAGCACTAAAAAGAAGAAATTGGGAAAGAAGAAGAAGAATAGGCCTTCTTGAGGAGCATTTGGTAATTGGTATTTTAAGCAAGCAACAGAATTGGTACGGAGTATTATGCAGAAGAAGCAAATGCTTGGGAAACTTCTGAAAAACTCAACATTTGTACGTGTAAATGTGTAATACTTCTGTCATTTTTGCACTACATAAAATTATCAATGTAGAATGAAAAAATGACATGAAATACTTACGTTATACACAACAAAGTGTAAGAATATCCACTAGTCTTGCACAACCAGACCATTCTGTGTAAATATTATTTTTAGAACAATAGTGACAATTGTTGAAACACAAAAGTTGTGTCTGTAGAAATATAGCTGTTGAAGTTGTGTAGGGTTGTGTCAATAGGATTGTATCTCTTAATTTGTATATATTTCTCTGTTGTCTCCCCATTGAGACAAGGAAGTAATAACAACTCTTTCTACATCTCTCTCAACATGGTATCAAGCCAACAATTTGAAAAATTTTGAAAATTTTTTCGGTGAACAGTAACAAGTACTGTTCATCCGAAACTATTTTCTCAGATTACTTCCTAAATGTGTGCTCTTTTGTCAAAATAATACTACAACCTTCATCTCTAGTCTCCGGTGACCCCGACCCACCTTTTCCGGTCACCGGAACACCGCCCACGCGCCACCACGTCGCCGGCGCTCTGACACCACGCGCCGGCGCGTGAGGCCATCTCCGGCGAGGTTTTCCGGCGAAACTTCCCAGTTCGGCTCGTCGGCCCTCTGCGATTTCGTCTTTACCATCAGATTTCATTTTGGTCGCGATGTCTTCTGACAAAAATTCTTCGGGTATTTCTCTTGCCAATAATTTACCTACTTCTTCGAGCTCTGTTTATGTGCCTAATCTGTCTGGAAATCCGGTAATCACTTCTGAAAGATTATGTGGTTCTCAAAATTACCACTCTTGGTCGGATGCCGTAGAATTATGGTTTATGGGCCAAGGTGTTGTTGACCACTTGCAAAAAGGAGTGGATATGATACCGGAAAAAGAAAAGTCAATTTGGCAAAGGTTTGATGCTCAACTTTGTAGTCTCCTTTGGCAGTCTCTTTCTCCACAATTGTTGCCTTTATTCCGGCCCTTTAAGACATGTGTCGAGGTGTGGAGTCAAGCTCAATCTTACACTAATGATGTCTCTCAATTCTATAATGTTGTTGACAATTTGGTTAACTTGAAGAAAGATGGTATTGATATGGAAACTTTTCTTGGCAAAGCTCAAAGTTTGATTGCTGAGTTTGGTACACTCATGCCTATTGGTGGTACGCCCGCAGAGCAACTTACCCAACGAGAGAAATTCTTTGTAATACTTCTTTTAACCAAATTAGGTCCAGAATTTGAAAGCATCCGGAATCAAGTTCTTGGAAGCAACGAAGTCCCGGGGACCACCGAGTTGTTCAAACGGCTCTTGCAGGTCACCTCCATCCCAGGTACTCACACATCCACTACCGAACAATCTGCTCTAGTCACACAAGGAGGTCGTGGACGAACTAACAATCGTGGTGGACAGAAGAGCACTAGAGTTTGTGAATATTGTAATAGAACTGGGCACACGCGAGATCAATGTTGGAAACTTCATGGGAGACCGGTACGTACCCAAGCAAGTGTTGCTCAATCTCAACCTGGGGAACCAAATTCTCGAACCATTTCCGCTGCTGAGTATGAAGAGTTTGTTCGATTTAAAGTCACTCCCAAAGCTTCTGGTTTAACTCTTGCAGCCCACATTGATGGAACTCATACTGCCCTTGTATCACAATCTAGCCTGAGCGGACCATGGGTTATCAATTCAGGCACCTCTGAGCATATCTCTGGTAACTCATCTTTATTTTCTCATTTCACCAAGTCTAAGTCCCTTCCATCTATTGTTTTCGGTAATGGGTCCAAGAGTACGGCTACTGCAATTAGAAAGGCTTCCCCCCTTCCTACTTTGCCTCTCTCTTCAATTCTTTATATGCCTAACTGTCCTTTCAATTTAATTTCTGTTCATCAACTTACAAAATCTTTGGACTGTACGGTCACTTTTTCTTCTGATTCTGTCATTATGCAGGACCGTCGTTCGGGGAAGATGATTGGTTCGGGGTATGAATCAGAAGGACTTTATCGATTATCTACCCCAAAATCTTCTACAGTTTGCACTGTTACCATTCCTCCTTCCCTTGCCCATGACCGACTAGGACATCCTAGCCTTAATAAATTACGGCGACTTGTCTCTAGTTTGTCTCACTTATCTACCCTAGAGTGTGAAGCCTGTCAGCTTGGCAAACATTCTAGAACATCGTTTCCTAATCGTGTTAATTAAAGAGTTGCTTTCCCTTTTTCCTTAGTTCATACTGATGTTTGGGGACCTTTTCGTTATAATTCAATTCTTGGTTTTAAATATTTTATTACCTTCACTGATGATTTTTCTCGTTGTACATGGGTCTTTTTAATGCAAAACCGTTCTGAAGTACTTAATGTTCTTAAAAAATTTGTTAATGAGATAAAAAATCAGTTTGGGGTATCTATTTAAACTTTACGAAGTGATAATGCTGGAGAATACTTTACAACTCCTTTATCTAACTTTCTTGATTCAGCGGGCATCCTCCATGAGTCATCTTGTCCCGATACTCCACAACAAAATGGGGTATCTAAACGTAAAAACCGGCATCTCGTTGAGACAGCCCGCACCATGATTCTCCACTATAAAGTCCCTCCCGAATTCTGGGCAGATGCTATCCTTCATTCCTGTTATTTAATAAATCGTATGCTTTCATCTGTTTTACATGGTAAGATACCTTATAATATTTTATTTCCTGATAAACCCCTTCATACTCTTCCTTTAAAAATTTTTGGGTGCACCTGTTTTGTCCGGGACACTACCCCAGGGCGTGATAAATTTTCCCCAAAATCCTTAAAATGCATGTTTGTTGGGTACTCTAGGTTGCAAAAGGGTTTAAGATGTTATTCCCCTGATAAGCATCGTTTTTATGTATCTTCTGACGTTACTTTCTTTGAATCAACACCTTTCTTTTCGTCTAGTTTACCGACCTCCATCTCTCATTTTCCTGATGTTCTTCCTGTTCCTACTTTTCAAGGAGGGACCGAGGTACATTTACCTCAAGATCCGTCATCACCTAGAAATCCTAGTCCCTCACCTACTGAACCTCCTTTACAAAACAACAGTGTTACCCCATTTCCTTACACTTATCATCGCCGCTCTCGACCACCCACGACAGTTCAAATCGATGAAATCCCAACTGATTCATCTCTCGAGCTATCTATGCCCTCGAACCCGGTTCCAGCAACAAGCTCTCCTATCGCAAGTCGTGTAGGTAATAGGTCATCATGGAACCCCTTTCCCATATACAACTTTATTTCATATGATCGTCTCTCACCTTCATATAATGCTTTTATCACATGTTTATCTTCTGTTTCTGCCCCTAAATCTGTTAAAGAAGTCCTTTCCCACCCTGGTTGGCGTCAGGCTATGGTTGATGAAATGGCTGCTCTTCATTCATCGGGGACTTGGGAGTTAGTTCCATTACCCGAAGGTAAAACAATTGTTGGTTGCCGATGGATCTATACTGTGAAAGTTGGGCCCAATGGACAGGTTGATAGACTTAAAGCTCGACTGGTAGCCAAAGGATATACACAGGTTTTTAGGATTGATTACACAGACACCTTTTCACCAGTAGCTAAAATTGCTTCGGTCAGAATCTTTCTTTTTATGGCTGCCGTTCATCATTGACCCTTGCATCAGTTAGATATTAAAAATTCATTTCTGCATGGAGATTTAGAGGAAGAAGTCTACATGGAGCAACCTCCTGGGTTTGTTGCTCAGGGGGAGAGTAACTTGGTTTGTAAGCTCAAATGTTCTCTCTATGGTCTAAAACAATCTCCTCGTGCCTGGTTTGGACGGTTCAGCATAGTAGTGCAAAATTTTGGTTTAAATCGAAGCAAAGTTGACTATTCCGTCTTTTATAGACATCAACATGGTAAGAGCATTTATCTTGTTGTATATGTTGATGATATTGTCATTACAGGAGATGATGTTGAACGAATACAATTGTTGAAACAACATCTTTTCCAACATTTTGAAACAAAAGATCTCGGGAAGTTAAAATACTTTTTGGGAATTGAAGTAGCACAATCCAAGCAAGGAATTTGCATATCACAAAGAAAGTATGCATTGGATATACTAGAAGACACAGGTATGATGAATTGTAAACCTCTTGACACTCTTATGGATCCAAATATCAAACTCCTACCAGACCAGGGGGAGCTTATCCAAGATCCGGGAAAATATAGACGATTGGTTGGAAGATTACTTTATTTAACTGTAACTCGACCTGATATCTCTTTTGCGGTAAGTGTTGTTAGTCAGTTCTTGGCATCTCCACGTGAAAGTCATTGGGAAGCTGCCATTCGAATTTTACGATATATTAAAAAATCACCAAGCACTGGTTTGTTATACAAAGACCATGGAAACCTTGAAATTATTGGGTACACAGATGCAGATTGGGCAGGTGCATGGGATAGAAAATCAACATCTGGATATTGTATCTTTCTTGGTGGCAACTTAATCTCTTGGAAAAGTAAAAAAGCAAAATGTTGTTGCTAGATCAAGTGCAGAAGCCGAATATCGATCTATGGCCGTTGGAACATGTGAACTTGTGTGGTTGAAAAACCTCCTTACCGAACTGCAGATTTGTACAAAGGAGTCCATGAAGCTCATTTGTGATAACCAAGCAGCTTTGCATATTGCATCAAATCCAGTTTTTCATGAAAGGACAAAACACATTGAAATTGATTGCCATTTTGTTCGAGATAAAGTTACTTCTAGAGATATTACTACATCTTTTATAGGCTCAAATAATCAATTAGCTGATATATTTACTAAAGCTTTAAGAAGTCATAGGATTGAATACATTTGTAACAAGCTTGGTGCATATGATATACATGCTCCAGCTTGAGGGGGAGTGTTGAAACACAAAAGTTGTGTCTGTAGAAATATAGCTGTTGAAGTTGTGTAGGATTGTGTCTCTTAGTTTGTATATATTTCTCTGTTGTCTCCCCATTGAGACAAGGAAGTAATAACAACTCTTTCTACATCTCTCTCAACAACAATGACATTTTAGGGCAACTTTTTGTTCATTTTCTTGTGATTTCACTATAACATTTTTACCCTTTCAATGGGGTGTATCACTCTTTAAAATAGTTTTTCTCTCATTTTATATTAAAAATGTCAATTAGACCATTCATCGGCGACAGAGAAGCATTCAAATTGCTGGCTTCTCCATAAATTTTATTTTATTTTTTAAAAAAATTAGTTAATTTATTTGAATTTAAATTTGTTTAGGATTTTTTTCTTTATTTTTTTGAATTAAAAATATATTTTTACTGGTTACTTGAATGTAACTAGTTTTTTTTTTTTTTTTTTTTTTTTTGAAAGGGAATGTAAATTTTTTTTTTTAAAGGGAATGTAACTAGTTAATAAACTCAATTACATAAAAATGAGGAGTTAGGGTGTCTGATTTGAACTTTTTATAGTTTAGGGACTTAATTATTTTTTAGCTTATAGTTGAAGGGAATTTCACCCTAGAGTAAATATAGGGAGTGAAAATAATAATTTTCATTTTTGAAAAAAATTAGTTTAGGACTAAATTCACATGAATAGGGATGTATTCAATTTGAATTTGTATAATTAAAAAACTTTAAAAGTTTTGTAGTATTCGATTGAAATTTTTAAAGATTCTTTAAATTTCTTGGTATTTGATTTATACTTTTAAAAAGTCTTTAAAAATCTCATTTGTAGGTATTAGATTTAGACTTTTAAAAAGTCTTTAAAAGTCTCTCTCTCTTTTTTTTTTTTTTGAAAATAAAAAGTCTATCAGTATTTTTTTTAAAAAAGTTAATGACTTTTACCGAATTTGTCAAACTATAATTTTTGTAGATTTTTTTCTTCTAATATATAAATAATTAAAATTCATCCTATACCCCAAACTTTTAAACTTCGTCTACAAACTTTTTCTCCAAAACTTCTGAAGTGTCTATAAACTTTTTCTACCTAACTTCTAAATTTTCTCTACAAGCTCTTTCTTCTTAATTTCTAAACTTTCTTCACGAACTTTTTCTCCTTAAATACCTAACAAAACAAACTTTTCACCATCACCGCCAAATTTTGTTATATATTTCATAATATTCATATAAATACTTTTATATTTTATATTCTTATTCTTTTTATGTTTATATTTGTAATATAAACTTTTTCTCTCTTTTTTTAACAGAGGGCTATTGCAAACAAAGGCTTACAAAGTTGAAATAATGCATCTTAAATCACCATTTGCGAAAAGCCGAAAACCACAAGGGAATAAAGAAAGTCCCCATTAAATCAATCACAAGTCTGAGAAATTCACAAAATCACATGCCCTGCCTAAGATTAATAATAGGCTTGAATAAGACAGACACCGTGATCAATAACCAGAATACATAAATGATGAGATCAAGTTTCTTACAGGCCATGCTAAAAGAGAAAGAGCTCTCAATCATCATCTGTCCCAAAGTATCTATCACCAAACTCTCCCATTCCGGGTACAACGCGGAATTCTTCATTTATAGCAAGGTCAATCTCAGATGTGATGATTTTCAGCGATGGGAAACGTTTGCTAACACAATGTATACCCTCCGGTGCCTACACAAAACATGGTGGCAATATAAAAACACATGGACAAGTCTTCCAATTCAGATATTGCTCACTACATTACATTACTTACAGATATGAGGTTTAAGAATAATATATGGGCTTCTGGAACTCCTTTCTGTATGAGCAACTCTATGGCCTGGTTAGCAGAGTTACCTTCATGGGAAAGTGCAAGAAATATTCAGCCTTTCAAGTATTATAAGACTGCAAATAATCAACTTAACCCAAATAAATGGCAAAAATAAAAAGGAATAGTAAGTTTGATTTAACCAGAGTAAGTGTAGAAAAGAATATGAGAAACAACTACCTGTAGCAAGAACAGGGTCGAGAAGCAGGACATGGCGCTCTGATATATCTTTTGGAAGTTTTTCGTAGATAAGCTGCTCATGGTACAAAAATAGAACCACATACCAACAATAATCACTTAGAAAGGAAAATGGAAAACCTTAACAAAAGCACCCTTCAAGGCAGAAAAGAAAAAAGATTACCTGTTTCCCATTGTCACCATCACGGTGGATCAGAATTTTCCCAATTTTTATACCCTTGCAACAAGCACGCAACGCATTTTCCATACTTTCACCACTATAAGAACAAAACATAGATAAGTATTGCATGCCTGTTATTCACCAAGAATCTTCAGTACAAAGTTTAGAAGCTAATGGTGCTAATCAAAATTCTCAGCAACAGACTGCTTGTACGCTTCAAAAGGACTGGTTGCCAAAATAATAGTTTGTAACTCAGTTTTATTTATTTATATTTATTTTTTTATTTTTTAGCTGATGAAAAGTAATACAAAACAGTGGAGAAGTTGTTTACTCACCAATGAATGATCATATTACAAAGTAATATTCCATTATTTTCTTTCTTTCCCTAGTCTTGTTATCAATAGATGAAGGAAGCTTTCAGCTTTAAATAATAAAATATCATTACACTTGATTTAACACTTACCTTCGAACACCTTCAAAAAAAAAAAAAAAAAAAACACTTACCTTCGAACAATAGACACTCCACATAGTTTCTTGCAAAAGTCTACACCAGTATATACCGACTCTGAAATTGAATTGAGAAGTCAAAAGATTATTCAGTACATAGATTCAAAATAAAGACACAGGTGTTCAAACTACAAAGTACAAACCATTATAAATAGGACTCTTATTGCCCACAAAAATAACAAGTAGTTCTTGTTTTCTCAAATCAAAACATTAAGAATGTAGACTTATTGAAGTCTTTGTTATTGTTATTGTTAATACATTCACTTTTCTTTCAGATTCCCAGTATGCGGTAGCAATTTTCTCTCATCTATGGAGAGGAAAACATAGAAATTAATCACATCAATGATTCCATGGAAATATTAGGTGGAAATAACCTTTCCATACTACAACCAATTGTCAACTGAATGTACCTGTTGGAGTGATTACTTGCTTCTCAGTGAAGGGTAAGTGGCCAAGACCATTCTCCACAACCTATTGGCTCATACAGCAAGGATTAGTGCTTGTTAATTTATAGATCAAGTTTATTCACAAATATATTCTGAACAATAGAGTAGAGAATCACCAAACGTATAAGCCGGTCAGAATAAAAAACAAAGTCATGTTTGGAGATGTCCCTATCTCGGATCAGGGTGTGCATACCTCTTATCTGTAACAAGAAACTCAGAATAAGCTAAGCTTCATTGGTAGTCATGTTACTCATGTATGATAAAACAAAGAATGAGAGAGATAGAATGAGTGAATACATTGCACTTATTTATTTTAGAAGGGTATAGAATTAAAATGCCTCTAACATTGTACACGATTCATTAATTCTTCATACATTTAGCTATTAGTTTTCCTCTTTTCTAAGAAAAGTATTTCTTTATACATGCAAAAACCAACAGCAGAATAACATGCCTGATCCCTAGCACCAGACAATCTTTATGAAAGTTATTGGGATGTTTGCAGGAAAAATTAATCGAAGTGTATATCTATATGTCATTGCATGATAATGATGATATATACCCTTTTCTTTTATCCCAATCCTGTCATTCTAAGGATATCTAGTTGTGGCTTTATACCATGAACTCAATGTTAACCAATTGATGCAACTAACTCATGATCAATTGGAATTACAAATGTACATTAATAAAAAGGGGTAGAATGACTAAAATGTGCTCACCTGGAAAGTTGAGTTAATAACATATACATTTGGATATATTTTGCAGAGATCATGTTGACCAAGCTTTGTCCGAATATGTTGGACAATCAAATCAATAGCAACATGATTATCACCTCCCCTGGGTATGATAACATCAGCATATTTCTTTGAGGGGAGAACAAAATCATCAAAAGCAGGCTTGACAAACTTTGCATACTGCATCATAAGCAGAAGAACTGTAAGATTTACCCAAACAAGAACACTATCATGCTTCATAATTTTATACATATTAGTGATTATACTAGATTTATCCAGTTCATGTAGGTAGCAAATATGGAGTAAATATTAGAGAAAGGTAAGGACCAAGTCTTTCCTGTTCAAGAACAGAGTTAAGATCCCTGCCCCTCTCAACAGTATCACGTCTTATTCGGCGAGCAAGTCTTACATCAGCATCTACAGTTAATCAATTATCACAAATAAAAATGTAAGAAAGATTTTAGAGGGCAGGCAATATATGGCAAATAGCAATATATAGATCAACCTTACTAATAGGGCACACCAAATATATCAACAGTTAGTGGATAAGCATGATTTTAGACACTAAAACTAATAACTAATCATGAACAATGCAAATATGAGGCTATCCATGTCTGCAATGAGCAAATAGCACAACTAAGAGCAATATGAAGTAAGTCAATTAACCAAAAAGTTTCAAATCAAATTGTCACCAACCACCCACATTCCCTCTCATTTCCAGTAGTTGAGAGATGGGCTGGAATCAAAATGTACAGGGTTGGCCTTATTTTTGTTTCTAGGATTAAGAAACAACTGCCACATATGGTGCTAGTTGCACAAGGAATATAATTATAAAATATCAATTTAGATAGGTTCAGTACAAAATCACAGCCACAAATCAAATTAACAATTAACTTAGGGAGTTATACCTGTATCTACAAAAATCTTCATATTCATCAAATTGCGGACACGTGAGTCATGAAAAACAAGTATGCCCTCCAAGATGATTACATCAGATGCATTTACCTGCATCTCTGTGATGTTAGTTATTCCAGTGGAAGTTGTTAGATACAAGCAACCACAAAAACATAAATTCATGATGGCAGGCTAATCATCAATGTTTCTCTCCATCTCCCCAACTGAAGAGGAAGCACATATATTGGAAACAGGATGATTTTTGAGAACCCAACACTGTAAATATTAGACCAAAATGTGTGCAAAGTAACTTCTAAAAATTTCATTTCACAATAAGTTTCAAAATGAAGCCAATATGCATTATGGGTTAAATTCCAAACTAAGACTGAAACTTGTTACTTGTATCACATAAGGATAAGATTCACCCATCATTATATTGCAAAATAAAATTATGATTTGTTGTTCTAAGCACTGCATATAATGAGCAATTTTTTATGAACACTTCTGGTCTTCCCGTGCCCAATGACACCTGCCTGCCAACCCACAGGACAAAATGAAAGGAAAGGGGAACAGAAAAGGTATCAAACAAAACAGAATGAAGAGCACCTGACGGAAGCTATCAGAACATCTTTGGTGTGTTTTGAAATCATATATTGGAACTTGGACAGACTGGCCAGCTTTGAGCTTTCCAACGCACTCCAAAAGTTGCTCAGTGTCAAACGCGTCTGAAAAGATAGCAACAATGCCTGGAATTTAGAACCAAACTACCAAAGCTCCTATATACCAGAGATGCAGAAGAATGGACTCATGAATAAGATGAAGCTGTGAACATTTCATTACTAACTGAGATACTACTAGCATTAAGCAAAATTCAGTTACCTGGATGATCAAAGTTATACTCATGGACACGTTTTAACTCTTCAGAGTTTAAACCACGGTAGAAGGAATCCTACATTATGCCCAGAAAAGTTATACTCAATAGGAATATTACTTTAGTAGGTACCATAGCTTTCTAGTATATACTCAATAGGAATCTAGATGAGTTTCAGAGCCAAGCAACTTTCTATTGCTCCTCCAATCAGAAGCACTAATTTTGTAGGCAGAAGAAGAAACTAGCAATCTTTTTTTGGCTAATTTTGGTCCAAACTGCTGTTGCATTGTGAGAAGCTAACACAGGAAATTCAAATTTCATTCAAAATAAAGTGGCAGCTATATTATATGAACCCTACTCTGCTCATTTTTTCCCATAGTTATGTGAATTTAAAGTATGAGTAAAAGTTATTACACAGTATTAGTAATCGCAAGATCAGTTACTTATATCAAGAAACCTGATTGACAAGAACAACGCGATGATCATGTAACTGTTGAATAATCATGTCGCACACTGTTGTCTTCCCAGAGGCAGTACCTCCGGAAACTCCTGCATAAAAGAGCCAGGCAGCAAAGAAATAAATGAAATGCGTTCCTAATAAATGAATCTCAGGTTAGAGATTAAAGATAATGATTAATCAAAGACGCCGAAAACCAGAAACAAAACTGCGAGTAGTAATTGTTGCTGTTGCATAGAACATCCAAATGACAAATTTACTAAAATTTGACAAAATCGAAGGAAAACGAGTGTTGCAGCGTGTACCGATGACGAAGGGCTGTTTGTGGCCGGAGAAATCGGGAGGAGGAGTGAAAGAGGAAGCAAAGGCAGTAGGAGTTTGATTGGAAGAGCGAGGTGAAGATGCGGCAGAGAGGAGGCCGTCGAGGCGAAGTCCGGAGAAGTGTGGGCCCGACGCTGCCTCCATCACGTAATCAATCGCCGTCGTCTCCTCCGGCATCGTTTTCCGGTAACAAACGTTGTTTTCCTTTTTCTTTTTCCTGCAATCGAATCTGCAGTTTCTCAAGCAGAAGTACAAGCGATGAAAATTTAGCACGAGGTTGCAGACAGTTGACTGCTTTGAGTTTGTCACGCTGGGTTCCGTCAAAAGCACGTGACCTTATCTTTGGGCAACGAACAAAAATCCAGTCATTATCATTCTTCCCAAACTATCATCGATTCATCGAGTGTATATAACCATTCTAAGTTGTTCCTTGATTAGCTCAAATCATGAAGATTGAGATTCGAACTCTTGACATTATCTTCTTTTCGGTTAAAAATGAAAAAGAATAAGGGTCAAATAGGCCATTGAATTGCACACGAGAATGCAATTAGATCACCGAACTTAAAAAACCTACAATTGGGTTCCTAAACTAACAACTTTCATTCAATTTGTCCAAGGTTTCTTAGGTTTCTAACAGGTTACTCCTCCCCCTAGGATGCATATGTGGCATTTTTAAAAAATTATTTATTTTTAAATTAGTTTTTTAATGTTTAATATATAAAAACTAAAATAATTTTATTTTTTAAAAATAAAATATTTTGTTAATTTGTTTAAAATTCGCAAATCACCAATACAAACTAATTATTTTAAAATTCAAAAATCACCAAATCACGATAGTTTCTATTAAATAATTTGTTGATTTTTTATTTGTTCCTGGCCAATGCATATTACAAAGAGAAATAAAGCAGTAAAAGCAATATATTAGAAAGTAGTAATACTATTACAGTATTACTAAATGTATCATATTATTAAACAAAACCATTATTAATAGTTTTAGTATTAGTATTAGCAGTAATATAATTTATTGTTTTTTTTTTTTTAAAGAAGCAGTATTAGTATTATTTGCAACAAAGAATAATCAGTAAAGAAATTTAAAAAAAAAAACAACAAATTATTTAATAAAAACTATCGTGATTGGTGATTTTTGAATTTTAAAATAATTAATTTGTATTGGTGATTTGCGAATTTAAAAAAAAATTAACAAATTATTTTATTTAAAAAAAAATTATTTTAGTTTTTATTTATTAAATATTAAAAAACTAATTTAAAAATAAATAATTTTTAAAAAATGCCACATATGCATCCTAGGTGGAGGGGTAATTAACCTTTTAGAAACTTAAGAAACCTGCAAAATGAACAAATTGAATGAAATTGGTTAGTTTAGGGACTTAATTGTTGATTTTTTAGGTTCAGTGGTCTAATTGCATTCTCGTGTGCAGTTCGATGGCCTATTTGACCCTTATTCCAAAATGAAAATGATAAATAGACGGCAAGGAATTAAAACTCCCCTCAATCTCGTCATGTGTCTTAATTTTATTAGAGGATGATTAAAAGAAAGTAATAAAAACTACTTTTATTCATATTTTTTTGAATGAATCAAAGGGTGATATATAAACAAGAGTAAAAAATATAGTAAAATGTAAGAGAATGTGTAGTAATTATTTCATTTATTTGTTAGATATATATATTTTACTCTTCCGGTTCTCTCAATATTTCATGAGTACACACTATACAGGATATTCCTTAAGACACTAAATAATCAAATATAAAATCGTATTTTACAACACTTATATCTTGGGCAAGTATATCATATTAGTCATGTATTTTTAAAATTGTTGTTATTGTTGTAAATAAATAAATATATACGTTACTGAAGGATTTATATTATGATTATATCTCTTCACTCTAGTAGAGTTATAGAAAGATTGTGTAACTATGCACATTCAATATGTATTGTATTGAATGATGAATGATATGTATTTTGAGTCTTATTAATTTTTGAGAAAAATATTAAAGACTTTATTTTTGTGGGAATACATTCACTAAAGTTTTTGAGTCTTTCATATTTGATAACGTGTCCAACCATTGAAGTATATATTTCCAATAAAATAGTTTTGAAGTTCTTAAATGGAGATTGATTTTGGGGGACTCATGATCTGTCAAAACGGACCAACCTGACCTATTATCGGTTGATGCAAAGCAGGCAAGGTCTAACTTGACCTATTTTAAAATGCAAATTGAGAAAATGGACCCAAACCCATATATTAGCAGGTTGGTAGGCTAAATGGGTCAACCCACCTGTTTAATTTTTTTTAAAATATTTTTTTTATATTACGACATTTATGTAAAGTACAAATGATTTTTTTTTTTTTGGACTACTGATTCTATTGTAATGTAGTATAACTACTTTCTTAACCAAATGAAGCACAAAGAGCCAATATCATCTCCGTGAAGACTCGAACACACAACCTTTCTTATGAGAGTGGAACTTAGGATGTGTTTGGTTCGCACATAGAATGGGTATCAAATACTTGGTAATGGTAATGGATTTTGGTGAAAGTATTTAACATGTTTGGTAGTAGGGTGGAATGAGAATGGTTACTAATAGTAGTGCTTGAGAATGAATAAGGAAATGAAACTCTTATTTTATTTAGGTATGAGTTTTTCAATTCATGGAGTATTCGAAACTCATAGTAGTGTTCTAAAAACCTATCAACCAAACAACAACAATCACTTCCATACTCATTCCTATGAGCAAAACCCACCAACCAAACATACCCTTAGTGCCATTAGACCACTTGATACAAATTGAATCTTTAACCTCATATATAATACAGAGTTGTTGAGCATATAACTATTAATGTGCACGTCACGTCGGATTCCGGTGCAATGGCGCCAATGATGTCCTTCGTGTGGGTAATGGCGCAAGTTTGGGGATTTCTGGTATTGGTCATGCATTATTTCTGTTGGTTTCTAAATCGTTGCGTTTATCTGATATATTACATGTTCCCCAGTTGTCTGTGTCGTTATTATCTGTCAATCGTTTTGCAAGTGGTAATAATTGTTATTTTGAATTTCACCCGTCATTCTTTGTCGTGAAGACTGCAAAACCAAGGCGGTACTCCTTAAAGGATCTAGCTCGGGGGGCCTGTACAATCTGTCTGTTCTGTGGTCTCGTTCCGCGTTTATCACATCCTGCGTGTCTCCTAAAATTTGGTATCAGAGCCAGACCAAAGGTCATGAGTTCGAATCTCAGCGCTACCCATAAGCGACTACGGTCCACGTGTTGCTTGGAACCCACCGCACACGTGAGGGGGTGTGTTGAGTATATAACCATTAATGTGCAATCCAACTATCAGCTTAACCTTTTAGTTGAGATGGAGCACATGCTTCAATTTGAGTAACTGAATTTCTTTCCAATTAAGCAACTTATATTTTTGAAAAAAATCAATAAATAAATGTGCGTGTATATAAGGAATTCCTCCCCGTTAGGGACTTAGGGCTAATAACTAAGCTTCTTGCTTAAAAAAAAAAAAAAAAAAAAAAAAAAAAAAAAAACTAAGCTTCTTGCTCTAACTCCTTGCAATCAATAAGGAATAGCATCTAGAAAGATAAACTCCCTTAGCCGCCTATGTCCCTAAAACAACTATTCATTAGTGTTGAAAAAGACGTTAGACGCCATCTAAATGTTTAATTTTTAATTTTTAATTTTTTTTTGGATTATTCGCCAAAAAAATAAAAAATAAATCGTAGTTTGGCCGCCTAGACGGCCTAGGAGGTCACCTAGGTACCCGGCTAGGGAGGAGGCCCTGATATCAGCATTCCTCGACGTAACCAGATGCAATTTTTGCAACCATGCTATTCATACATCTCTAGGAAGTAATAAACAAAAATCATCAAAGACAAAATCATACATTGCAAGTGATATGAAAGCGAGAAAGATTGCACACTTATTATCTTGTCAAAAGTAGACTATAGATCTCCAATCTAAAGATAATTTACGTTTTTACAATAAAGTGAATAAACTCATCGCTTTATTGCAATAAAAGCTAATATTTTGAAAGTAAAACTTATCAATCAAAAGTTACTCCGGGAGTAAAACACAATTCAACACTTTCAAATCAATAGGAAGCTAGTAGTAAAACCTAACACTTCACCTAAACCTTACCCTTTTTTTTGTTGTCTAAATCCAATCCAATCCATTTTAATTTTCAGATGAGTCGTCTCATAAGTCCCACAAACATAAATTCTTACGAAAATAGAAACATCTATATATGTGATTGTATTAGAAGAGGATGAGTAGTTGGGGCAGCAAGAGTGCAGCAAGGAAAGGTGGCAATAAGAGACGAGGAGGAGCAGAAGAAGTGGAGGCCGGATTGGACGGCGCATTTCCGGTGAGAGTCGTAACCTTCAGCTTCATTCCCTGCTCACAATGGCCGGCGGTGCCGCAAGCGAAGTAGCGGCTGCCGGGCTTGTTTAGCTTCACCACGTCGTTTCCGCCGCTGAAACTGTTCACCGGACTGCTTGTGTCACAGCTCTTGTACGCGCTTTCACTCCCTAATTCCACCACGCTATGCAGTCCCGGATTGTACCTAAATACTACTCGATCCGCCAATCCAACAAAAATAGATCAGATAATAAAGAGATATGGGGAAGCTAAGATAGACGATCGAGGATGATATATATATATATACCTAGTTGATCTCCGACCTTGAATGTGTTGCCAGATGCCCAGGAATCGAAATCTGTGGATTCATCCCAACCTTGGCTGCCACCCACGACGTGCTGTGCTGCCGCCACTTGTTCAATCATCACTGCCCCAATAACAACTACCAACATACATCTGTACAAATTAGCCTCCATATATGATAGTAATTGCTTGATTAATCACTACAGTACACTAGCCACCCTACTTGATCTGCAAGCTCAATAAATGATTTTAAGTTATTATTAAACTCCTCATCAATGATGTCTGATCTGCGTATGTGGTATGTGTATATATATGCATGTTTTCCAAGACGTGGAAATTGATATCTCATCATTTGATAGAAATCTTGGATATTAAGAATGCCCCACAAGCTGTCACTTTTCCAATAATAAATCTCTAGTTGGTGATTTTATGTTTAGAGTTGGTTATGTATAATTCTAAAAAAAAAAAAAAAAAAAAAGAGTTGGTTATGTATAGAAAAATGAAGACAAAAAAATTTGTGAGGCAGTCTTATGGATCTTTTTTTTTTTTTGTAATTGATTGGATTAAGTGTAATACTTTTAGAAAAAAAATGTAATACTTTTACATTTTGATCAAATTTTAAAATATTATATATTTTTTTTCAAAAGTATTACTACTATGTCCAATATAAGTAAAAAAATATTTTATTCTTGATTGGTATTACATTTTCCAATATAAATATTACATTTCCATTTTAACTTAATTTGTCTCACGGATAAGAATCTGTGAGACGCTCTCACAAGAGAATCACTCAAAAATAAAATGACATGAGACCACTTAATTCACATGAGTTTAACTCTAATATCAAATTGAATGATGTTGATAGTTAAATTGCACATTTATGTATTATATTATGGAGTATTATATGCTCAACAGTTAGTAGATTTTTCCTTTTAACTTGTGGTAAGTTTTATAAAATCATGAGCATATAATAAACATAAAAAGTTTTATTGTCACATCAAGAGATGTGATGAGTTTGCATGTCTCATATAAGAAATATGAGTTTGTCTTATATAAGGTATATGAGTGGAGCGGATTGGGTCGGGCTCATGGTATGTACAGAGACAGATGTCTATAAATACATTAGTTGTATCTCTAGGTGATCAGATTATCACCATCACAATTAATAAAAAAAAAAAAAAAAAACATATCTTTACTCGCGTAGACGTAACATATACATTGTTAAACCACGTAAATTTTACCTTTTTTACTTTGTTATTGTTATTGTTTTTGTTCTTGTTAATCTCAACAAGGTAAACATTATGAATTAAATTTAAGATACAGGAACTAACATTTTTTTCCCTCCCTAAAATCATTTTACTTGTCTTTTTAGTTGATAGTGGGATGGATTAATTTATGAGTAATTAATAAATATAAAATGTTTTTAAGGAAGGGAGAGAAAGGAGTTTGTGAGTGAGAATAGAAATTTTTATAAGCATATTTATAATGATGTGGTAAGTGATTATGAAGCTTTTCTGGTTCACCAATTTCAGAAATTTTAATGGAGAGATGATAATTGATTGATTGTTGTTGGACACGTTCAATACAATCCTAGCTTACGTGTTGGTTGATGGATTAGGTAGAAGCCTTGGCTTCGAAACTAAGCTAAGCAGCACAATACCCTTTTTCTTTATTACGGAGTACCATTTTGATGAGCCATCATCAATTTAATTTTATTATTTTTTTAATTTTTAGTTTCTAGATTTAGAATATTAAAAAATTGTCACACACGGCATTCTTGATGTGGTGTGGTGCCCGCTTGCTTATACATATTTGCATGCATAAGTTATCCCCTGTAAATGTAATTCTTTTATTTTTTAAAAATCGAAATGGTACAAATATAGATTTAATAATGCCCTATAGTTTCACCTACTTTTATATCATTCTTTTTCTCTTTAAATTATGATGATTTAAAAAAAAAAAAAATTGTGAACCCTTTTTAAAATTTACATAATTCTTAATTGTGGTTACTTGTTATCATAATTTATTTTATTATTAACTGGATCATTTTCAAGAGGGAGTGTTACAAGTTACAACATGAGAAATTCATGTTCTTGAATTGCCTCTCTAACTTGAGATTAATTAATAGCAAGTATAAGGATATTTTCTTTTATGTTAGTAACTAAATGTTGTCATGTTTTGCAAGAACAAAATTAAGTTGCGGATTGCGAGGAACTATGATTGGGGCTTGAATTGGCCTTTATGTCTTGCTGTCCGTCTAGTGATCTTGCGCTGCGTGTCTAGAAAGATGTGATCGGGGTGCCTAGTGTCTGTGGAGATTGATTGTGTTATTTTGTTAGTCAGGGTTTCACCCTTCCCTTTCCCTAAAATAAATAATGTACTTCCTGTTAACATATTATGTACCTTCAAATTATTTATAGATTAACTAAGAACACATACTCTGAATATCATTTTAGATCAAGATCCATAATGCAAGATCGATCTTGGTAATTTGCCTCTTCCCACGACCATCATACATAAAATTTCATGAGTTTATTTCTTCCTTAATCTCTCCGGGAATAAATCTTTAGCTAAATCATTGGATTAAATTGTCCACTTGCCTAAAAACCCTGCTTCTTTACAAATGTATACAAAATAAAAATAATAACAATAATAATAGTTTCATTTTTATGGATGGTAACTAATAAAAAGGACAAACTAATTGGTGTATATAGTAGCTTCAGCTAGCAAGAATTGAAGCATGTGCTCCATCTCAACTAAAAGCCTAAGCTAATTGTTGGATTGCACATTAATGGTTATATGCTCAACAGCAAGAAGGATGTATTAATAATATGATATGATGTATTAATAATATAATCTCATCAGTGCAGATTTCTGAAAAAGTTGATAATCTGGTTATACACCACATCCTTTGCAGTTATCCCAATGATGAAGTCTGCATGGGCATAATCCTTGATGTACTGAACATGCAGCTTAAGCACATCATGCAACTTCAGATAATCAAGCAGACTCTCCACATCCCTAACGTCCGATAACGCATCCTCCCCTCCATAGCTTATGAACATCGGAATATCACCAGGAATGTTGCTCAGGTTATACCTAGGAGGCCTTGCTTCCCCATAGTGTGCCAGATTGAAGTCGTTATTCCCATAATCGTATTTCGCCAGGATGCCATCACGAACAGCTGCAATTTCAATTCCAAGTTTTTCTTTTTTACTTGCTTTCTGTACATACACCTTAAATGGAAGGAAATCAGGTTTATCTGTCACTTACTCTGGGCCAAATGCACAAGGTTCTTGGTAGATGTTGATTGAGGCTCATACTTCAAGAACAGCTCAACAGTAGAGGAATTAAGACAGCAGTTCTTCCCTAAACTCAGCTCCCCAAATGTTAAAAAAAAGCTGGATTTCATCAAACTATATATATATATATGTTGGATTCAGAAGAGTAGTAATTTACCGGTGAGTGCACTCATCAAGTCGAAGCAGTCTACCCCTGGTTGGGCGCACAGAGCCTTCAGAAACTGGGATACTGGCTCACTGCAGAAGGGTGGTTGGGTGGGAAATTACATTAAGCAATTATGTTTCAGGCTACTTGTTGGGCGGAACGAGGCCAGTGAAGAACCAAGTCCAGCACCAGTTGGCTAAGAGATTGTTGGGCGGAGGAGGGTGGTCGGGTGGGAAATTACATTAAGCAATCATGTTTCAGATTACTTGTTGGGCGGAGGCCAGTGAAAGACCAAGTCTAGCACCAGTTGGCTAAGAGATTGCTAGGCGGAGGCAGGCCTGAAGGACCAAGTCCAGCACCCGTTGGCTAAGAGATTGCTAGGCGAAGGCAGGCCTGAAGGACCAAGTCCAGCACCAGTTGGCTAAGAGATTGTTGGGCGGAGGCAGGCCTGAAGGACCAAGTCCAGCACCTTGCCTCTTGAAAATGTAGCGGTATATAGAAATAAAGTTGTGCCTTCGCTACTAGCTATAGCTTTTGGCCTAATGGTAAGCGCTTGATTCTAACAGATGGTATCAAAGTCAAGTCACGGGTTCGACAGTTAAGGCTGCCAGGGGATAAAGTTGTGCTTTCACTACTAACTCTAGCTTTTGGCAAAGTGGTATCAGAGCTAGGTCACGGGTTCAACAGTTAAAGCTACTAATAGATAAAATTGCGTCTTTGATACTAATTACAGCTAATAGCTTTTGGTGTAGTGGTAAGCGTCTGATTCTAACGCTACTATACTAGCGATTATTCTGGATGTCGGGAAATTCGAACTTACCCTTTAGGATTAAATTCTGCAAGTCCAAAGATTGTAGTGATCTGCAGATATAAACATATATTGTCAGATGCTGCAATGCCTACAGTTCTTTCTGTAGATATACACAAAGATAGCTGTACTCACCTCACCCACAAAAGCTCTGGCAGCCATGAGGCCAAGCCCAGTGGTCATATGGCTCAAGTAAGCAATTGGGCTTAGCAAAACTGCAGACTTTACCTTGTCTACTAGCCTGCCTTCTGAGAAGGATGCCAAAGCCATCAATGTCCCCTGAAAATTATTTGTTTTTTAACTCATCTTTTGTTTTCTTTTGAGGGGCAAAATCATACACTTTTAACATGTTATTCTGCAGAATTGAAACTTTAAAAATTTACCATTGAATGGCCAATGTAATGAACTTTTTGACCAGTTGTTCTAAACACAAGATCTACAACAGCTGGCAAGTCATGAACCACCAAATCATCCCATGTCCAGTTCCAGTAATCCTATAATAATCCCAAATCCATAAATGTCCATTCATGTTGGTTTACTAGATACTGTTGTTGAGTATATAACCATTAATGTGCAATCTAACTATCAGTTTAGGCTTTTAGTTGAGATGGAACACATGCTTCAATTACTATCAGCTACTGAAACAAACCATTCTTCCATGTACTTACAGGGTCAGTATTAGCATCAAGGGTCACATGTCTTCTGCTGTATCGGGTCCCTCTGATGTTCGAAATCCACACATCAAACCCGCTATCTGCCAGGATCATCGCCAGTGATTGTTCCGGTGAGTTCAACAGCCACGTCGTTCCATCCTGCAGTACGTACAACAGAGGTTATAATTAAGTTTGCACTTACACAATTTGCAACTAAGAAAACCGGTTTAGAAATGAGACTCAGAAACAGCAAATGCTGCAGCCTGCTCTGACTCGTTGGCTCAAATTGTTGAACATATAATATATATAAACATAAATGTGCAATTCAACTATCATCTTAGTCTTTTAATTGTGATGCAACACATGCTTCAATTTAAATTTTT